GCGTCCGCCTGATGTCCATGCTTGCCCGGATCCTCGGTCACGACCGCGTACCCACGGACGTTCATACGACAGAGACCCAAACAACGGCGCAGCTGAAAGGCCAATTTCTGGGATCAGCAATCTGGTCGGCACACCTGTACAAGGACAACGATGTGCAGGTCGACGATGGGTCATGGGGTGCTCGCGTTTCTGGGGGCAACTTTCGCCCCGACGAGGCGGCATTGATCGCGCAGTACAAGGTGTATTACGGGTGCGGAGGGGATGAGCAGTGCAGCGACATTCGGTGCCCCTTCTGATGGGATGAGGAGGACACCTTGGACAGTAGCCTGCTAGAATGTTCGAGGCACATGCGCGTTGTGCAGGTAGTGAGCTGTGGCCAGGGCCGGCTGAAGGGTGGCGACGTCAAGGCCGCCGCACGGCCTGGGCCGCCTGACGACGGGGCGTTGGGGCAGGCGCAGGCAGACGATGTCGAGATATTCAACAANGTGGGCGTTGGGGTAGGGGCAGGACGACGATGTCGAGATATTCAACAAACCACCGCCGACGGGCGACCATGGACCGCCACCAGCAAACCAACTCACCCTCAGCAAGATCATCTACTTCTTCCGTCAAACCGGAAACAACAACTCCTTGAGCGGTGAGCCACCACCATTTACGTGGTGGGTACTCGCTTACGACTACGTCGGGGTCGGCCATGGTAACGAGCGGGTGCCCGATTCCATCACCGGGCATCCGACGTTGTCACTGCGGGGACGGGGCCGTCCTAAGGTTTACCCTGTACACGCCAGCAGACGCCAGGTACAAATGTACCACCAATGCCCGCAAGGTCAAGATGCAGCAGAGGGGTCTCGGCTTTGCGGGGAAACGCAGGGGGCGGGCAGAGACCGAGTCTGGCGACACAAGTTCCGGCTAGCATTACCGGGGTCTAGCAACGGCTACGACAAGTACCTCTTGAACAAGGTACACCACAGCATCAACCAAGACACATTTGTTTGAACGATCGTGGAGTTCTTCGAGGAATGTGAGACTCAGAGGAATATGACAGTACCCTCTAAACAGCAGTTGTTGTTGCTGATGTCGTTGTTGTTGTTCTAGTGGATGCTTGTTGGTTGCACTGGGGTAGGTGGTGCGTGAAAAACTATTGCGAAGCGATCTTACAGATTCCTGTATGAACTTTGGGAGTATGAACCGTAAAATGAGGTGCTTGCGCATTGCGAACAACGGCACCGCAGTCAGATTCGCAGTATCAATAAATATAATGCCCCGACGCCCACATGTCTCTTGGCGCCACACAGACCAGCGAAGTTTTTCGAGGGCAGCGATTCGGCACGGTCAACAACAAATGCTGGTGTGGAGGCCTAACGATGGCCGGCCTTCGGCTTATAGGTGTATAGGTGTGCGTCTGGATGTGGTGTTCGCAGCTAGCTGCAATGCCGGAGATAGTTGGGTGGGGAGGCAGGGCGAAACCCTCACGCGTCGATGCCAACTGTGTTGAGGGTCTCGTATAAGAGTGAAGGTGCAAACCACGGCTTTNCGAGGGCAGCGATTCGGCACGGTCAACAACAAATGCTGGTGTGGAGGCCTAACGATAGCCTTCGGCTTATAGGTGTATAGGTGTGCTTCTGGATGTGGTGCTCACAGCTAGCTGCAATGCCGGAGATAATGGGGTGGGGAGGCAGGGCGAAACCCTCACGCGTCGATGCCAACTGTGTTGAGGGTCTCGTATAAGAGTGAAGGTGCAAACCACGGCTTTGTATAGATTTGTCCCCTACTGTAAGGTGCGATTCTTCTGATGTAGTTCCGGCTGGTGTGCCGCTGCCCGAAGATACAACTAAGCGTGCTTGTTGTAGCAACCATTCCTCAACGCATGGACTGNACTTACTGAAATGTGCGATTCTCAAGATGTAGTTCCGGCTGGTATGCCGCTGCCCGAAGATACAACTAAGCGTTCTTGTTGTAGCAACCATACCTCAACGCATGGACTGCCGCCATGGCGTAACACGATACTCCATGTGGACACATTCAAAAGTACAATAGCATAGCGCATCTAGCACTGCTCTTGGGGGGAGAAAAAGCTTGTGTTGGCCTCCGAATCAGAGGGCTTATTTTCGACAGGACTTCGAACATGTTTGCCAGAAGCCCATTTGAGGGCGCGAAAAATTCCGTATGCAGGTGCATTATTCAACTACGATTGGTCATCGTACTTTACCGGCAAAAATACAAGTACATCACCAAATTGTTGTCGGTATGGTAGGTAGGGGAGCTTCGTTTTATGTTGACGAAGCTAATCCGCTTTATTTCCAACATGATGTATCCCTACCCCATCGATTCGACTCCGGGATAACTTTCGCGACGAATTGGTGGTGTACCTCGTGGTATTAGCGGACACACACTGCTGTGTGTTTCTACATGTTGCAAATATCGACGGGAAAAATAGCTTTGGGAGAAACAAGAATAGCTACGTGACCTTCTTAAAACTACATACAGTAGGTGTTCCGGCCTAGTACCGGCCAGATGTATATATATCGGCACAAAACCTGACGTCCCTGTTCTGAATAGTTGTTGTGTCCGGTGTACATGGTGCCCGTCAAACCTCTGGGCAGATGTATTCCGGCACTGCTGTATAT